GGTCGTTGATGTCTTGATCCCTTGGATCCGCTCAGTCCGTCTCCAGCTCCGCGAGCGGTTCCGTGCAGACCTTCCTGTCTTGCGTCTGCACTCTGACAGAGGTGGTGAGTTCTCCTCCGACCTCTTGCGGGACTTTTGTCGTGGGGAGGGCATTCTCCACTCGTTCACTCTTCCGGACTCCCCTCAGCAAAATGGGAATGCTGAGCGCCGCATTGGTTTAGTCATGGAGGTCGCTCGTACCTCCATGATCCATGCGGCTGCTCCCCATTTTCTGTGGCCGTTTGCGGTCCGGTACGCTACGCATCAGCTCAACCTCTGGCCCCGTGTCTCCTTCCCGGAGACCTCGCCTACACTGCGCTGGACGGGGAAGGTTGGCGATGCGTCGGTGTTCCGGGTCTGGGGTTCTCGTGCCTTTGTTCGCGAAACATCCGCGGACAAGCTCTCCGCCCGCGCTATTCCCTACGTCTTCCTTGGCTTTTCCCCTGACGCGCCTGGCTGGCAATTTTACCACCCCACCTTGCGCCGTGTCTTCCCCTCTCAGGACGTCACGTTCCCTTTTACAGTCTCTTCCCCTACTGCTCTACCCCTCCTCCACCCCCGCCGCTCTTCCTTTCTCCAGGTCTCCCTCCGGTAGACCCCCTCCCCCCCAAGGGTCCTGCTCCTTCAGGTGTGTCTCAGGTAGACCCTCTCCCTGGTACTGCGCCCGTTGAGGTAGCTGTCGGCTCAGGTGGTGCGTCTGGGGGTGCTGCGTCTGGGGGTGCGGAGCCGGGGGGTACGGAGTCTGAGGGTGCTGGGTCTAGGGGTGCTGAGCCTGGGGGTGAGGAGTCTCGGGGTGCTGAGCCTACGGGTGTGGAGCCTGGGGTTGCTGAGCCTGAGGGTGTTGAGCCTGGGGGTGCTGAGTCGGAGGGTGCGGAGTCTTGGGGTGCTGAGCCTCGGGGTGCTGCTTCGTCTGGAGGTCCTGCTGGTGCTTCGCCGCGACTGTCTGCGCAGCAGCTGCGTAAGTGGCTTGTTCGGCGCGCACACCTTCGGAGTGGAGCTACCGGAGCTGGAGGCACTGGAGACGCTGGAGCTGGAGGTGCTGGGGTTACGGCTGGAGCTGGTGGTATTGGGGGTACTGCGGCTGCTGGTCCTGGAGGTGCTCGTACCAGGGGTACTGGAGCTGCCGGGACTGGTGGTGTTGGGGGAGCTGGAGCTGGAGACCCTATGGAGCCTGGGGCTGATGGAGCTGGAGGCGCTATAGCTGGTGGCACTGGCACTTGAGGCGATGGAGCTGGAGGAGCTGGAGCTGGTGGCACTGGCGCTGGGGGCGCTAGAGCTGGTGGAGCTAGAGTTGGAGACTCTGGCGAGGGAGGCGCTGGAGCTGGAGGAGCTGGAGCTGATGACCCTGGAGGCACTGTGCGGCCGCGACCGTACTTTGTTCCCCTGCTTCAGCATGTTCTTGGTGTCCCGTCTTCTACTAGCCTTACTCCTCCCCTCCTGTGTCCACCGCCTGACCAGTCGCAGCTGCAGTTAGAGCCAGCCTCCCCACTGCCTGCTCCTTCTCCTTACACTGAGCAGTCTGGCAGTCTTACCGAGCGTCGTGAGCCTGCGTCTCGTCCTGTCTCGCCTGTTCGCATTGCTCGTCGCGTTCCTTTTTCGCGTCCTCCTCCTGTCCCCGGCACGCACGCTATGGCACTTCGTCCTTCCTCTGTTCCACTGCGTGTTCCTCTGCCTGCTCCTCCTGCGTCCTCTCTTCCTGAGGTCCCTTACCCTGAGTCTGACCACGCTCGTGCTGGCAGTCCCACTGTCTCTCGTCTCCTCGCCACTGCTGTCACTGACCCTTCTTTTGAGTCCACTGCTGCGTCTGCCCTCGTTGCTGAGCTTCTTGACTTTGCTGCTGCTTGTCGTCTAGACTACGCCATCGCTCTTGTTGCTGAGTCTGAGTCTGCCAGTCCTCCGTCCGTCGGGGGTGAGTGTGCTCTTGGCACGGACGTCCTTGAGGATAGGCACGAGGACTTTGAGTGTCTTGCAGTTGCTGTACCTCGTTTCGCTTCCATACTGCTTGCCTCTGAGGGAGACCCGGATGCACCAGACATCCCGACCCTGCGCTCTTACGCAGAGGCGATTACGGGTCCTTACTCCTCTCAGTGGCATGCAGCCATGGATGCCGACATGGCATCCTGGAAGTCCACAGGCACCTACGTCGACCAGGTTCTCCCACCTGGGGCGAACATAGTCGATGGCATGTGGATTTTCAGGGTGAAGCGGCCGCCGGGTTCTTCGCCTGCCTTCAAGGCACGTTACGTTGCTCGAGGCTTCAGTTAGCGACAGAGGGTCAACTACTTTCACACCTTGTCTCCCACCCCAAAGATGACTACTCTTCGGGTGTTGCTGCAGGTCGCTGCCCAACGTGACTACGAGTTGCACTCTCTTGACTTCAGCATATCTTTCTTGCAGGGCAGCCTACACGAGGAGATCTGGCTGCGCCGCCCACCTGGCTTCACTGGGTCGTTTCCTGCAGGTACCCAGTGGAGCCTTAGGCGGCCAGTCTACAGTCTTTGCCAGGCGCCTCGCGAGTGGCACGACACACTGAGGACTACACTTGCGGCTCTTGGGTTTGCTCCTTCTACTGCTGACCCGTCGCTGTTTCTACGCACCGACACCTCGCTGCTGCCGTTCTACGTCCTAGTGTTTCCTGGCGGTCTACCCGCTCGTCTTCGGTTCTCAGCTCCAGTTGTGAGGCTGAGATCTACGCAGGGGCCATGGCTGCACAGGAGCTACGCTGGCTCACCTACCTGCTGACTGACTCGGGAGAGCAGCCTCGTTTGCCTCCAGTTCTGTACGTAGACAACAAGGTCATGATTGCCTTGTGTCAGGAGCACAGGCTGGAGCACAGAACGAAGCACATCGCTCTGCGATACTTCCTTGCTCGAGAGTTGCAGCAGCGTGGTCAGCTTGGTCTTGCGTACGTGGCCACTAGGGCCAACACTGCTGATATATTCACCAAGGCACTTCAGTCTGGTGATCATCATCGCTTCTCTACTCTGTTTGGCCTTGTGCCTACCTTGCCTCACTTGCTCACCGCGTGACTTTGCTTGTGCTGTGATATATATATATATATAGCTGCATGCTTACACTTGCTAGGGTATGATCACTGTATTGTTTGTTCTCTTTTATATAACTCTGCATGTGAACTGGCCTTGTGGCCCTTTGCTTGTGCTCGGACTGTGTGGTGACTTTGTGATCCACCCTGAGCTTGCTCAACCTTTCTTGATTGGTCTTGTGACCACTTGTTCTCCCTCACTTTGCCTATGGAGGTGTGTCAGAATGTTATAGTGCTTACATTTGTGTAGGCTATAGTGGGGTAGCCCATAAGGGGTACAACCCAATTAGGGTTAGTACTTGTACCCAACTCTTTCATAGTTCATTCATTCTCGTTCATTCTTCTGACAGCATCTACTGTTGGTCGTGAATTTTTGTCGGTTTTGTGTACAGTGTGTGGGCCACGTTCGCGCCCGCCACCCACCCGAAATTTTTGGGTGGGGAATAGTACGAAACACTACCACGGGATGAGACTCGTGCGAACGAGGAATTTCGGGGGTACAAACCTCGAAAATGCCCCGGCGTGGCCAGTCGAGCAATTATCACTGAATTGGATGGCCACACGAGCAATTCGGGGACACGTGGGCAAGAGAGAATCACCAAACAAGGCCCTTAAGCAAATCTTTATTGACAAATGCTAGGCCCAACAGAATGGGAAGTACGCCCGGTTTTTCCCGGTGAAGGTACGCTAGGGTTTCTGTGCCCTAGAGAGGAAAGGCAGGTCACGGAGAATTTTGCTCAATCCCGCGGAAGCGCGGTTTGGTTTATTTTCGCCACGTGGCGAGCCTATGATCGCGTGAACCGCGATCTGTTTTATTGTTATCACAACCTTCAAGCGAATTTTAGTTAAGTTCTGGATTATGCTGCCCGCGGGCAAAAATAAAACCCCTATAGGTAAGGCATGCGTTAGGGATGCACCAACCCTAAACACCTAGAGGCAAGGTGTTTAGGGTTGATGCCTCCCTAACGCATGCCAGGCCCAAATGGGTTTTATTTTTGCCCCCAGGCAGCGCAGTACAGAACTGAACTAATTTTCTCTTGAGGTTTGTGATAACAATAAAACAGATCGCGGTTCACGCGATCGAAGGCATGCCACGTGGCGATAATAAAACAAACCGCAACTCCGTGAGATTGAGCAAAACTCTCCAGGTCACGCGTGGAACTGGTTTGTTGGCAGCGACACGGGCGGAGAACGACCCCCGCTAAATTCCTCCGCTTCAAAGAGTACAGCGATTGTTTCCTCGGCTCAGTGTACTGCACAGCCAATTTACCCGGCCCCTCCCTGCAAATGGTGAGTGCCACTCGGCCCGGGCGAAAAATAGCCCTGCACACGCAGCAGCCATGCTGCTTTGCGCGTTCGCAGCAAGAATAAAAGAGAGAATCTGAACACCCCCAGTTCGCGTCCAGAGCTTGCGCGTTTCGCGTCCAGAGCTTGCGCGCAGAGCCTTATGGCCTTGACTATGGCCTTGACGAGCCAGAGCTTGTGCGCAGTACTGTGCCCAATCAGTTGTCGACTTGCGCGTTCGCAACCTCGTGTCATCAAATGTTTTTTCTTTTATGTGGGCATTGGCGAGCAGTCATTCCGCCAGCGACTTTTGAGGCACCTCAGAAGTGGGTTGGCGAGCAGTCAATCCGCCAGCCAGTCAAAGGCCTCCAACCAATAATTCCTTTTACAGTCAAGCAAGAGCCATGCGCCTAGAATATTCACGACTAGCTGGCAGGTCATATGCAGTATAATTGACAGAGAGTTCACGGCTGGGAAGAGTGAGCGCTGGTAATAGTCAACGAATATAGTAATTTGCTTCCTAATCGCCGCCTAACTCCAATCGAAACTTCCACTTGTCATCCTACTAGTAGCCCGATATCACGAGCAACCAATCATGGGTCGGCGCATCGCCAGTCGCGTAAATCACGCCATGATGATGCTTTCCGTCGCAGCAGTCTCCGTGGTCCTCTCCTCGCTTCCGTTCGCTGCGGCGGGATCATCGCTTCTTGGCGGCTGGTCCGCCGTGAAAGGCGCGGCAAAAATTCATGAAGTGATAAAATTGGCCAGTTTCGCCAACGCGCACAACAAGAAAGAGGTACCGAGTCTTAAGACAGTCTGTCTTTTAACGTGCGTACCAGTCGAGCCTGAGACGTCTTAGAATCAGAAGTGAGAGTGGGAGGAGGTGAGGTGAGAGTGGGAGGAGGTGAGGTGAGTGTGGGAGGAGGTGAGGTGAGAGTGGGAGGAGGTGAGGTGAGAGTGGGAGGAGGTGAGGTGAGAGTGGGAGGAGGTGAGGTGAGAGTGGGAGGAGGTGAGATGAGAGTGGGAGGAGGTGAGGTGAGAGTGGGAGGAGGTGAGGTGAGAGTGGGAGGAGGTCGCCCATTGGGACGCCGCCGCGGCTCCCCACCCGCGTTGACTTTTGAGCCAACACTGAAGCCTCAAGTCTCAAGTGCCCCGTCACAAGCCTCAAGTGCTTCCCTTCCTTCCCCACCCCATCCCACCCCACCCCACCCCACCCTGCCAGGGCACGGGCCTCAAGTTGGTCTCGGTCGAGAGTGCCAAGAGCCAGGTGGTCGCCGGCGTCAACTGGAGCATAACTCTGAAAGCCGCCGCTGTTGCCCCTGTAGCTCGCCGCTTGGGACACCGCCGCGCCTCCCCACCCGCGACCACCACCTACGTGGCGGAGGTTTTTCAGAGCCTGACGCCCGTGGTCGGAGAGCCAACGGTTGCAGCACAGCGGGCGGGCGCGGCGCAGCCTGTGGGCAATGGGCAGGCGGCGGTGGGCAATGGGCAGCCGGTGGTGAGCAATGAACGGCCCGTGGCGGATGTACAGCAGTCAGGTGTGGCAAAGCCAGTGTTGGCGCGGGAGCCTGTGTTGGCAGATTATCTCGTGCTGGTCTCCTTTGCCAAGAAGAGTTGAGACTGTGGCGACCTTTTACGGGCTGCTTTCCCTTGGCAAGCAAACAGGGCAGTCTTGAAGCGAGGCGAGGTTGCACAACGAGCAATATCGGAAGCGAGAACCACGTTGTGCAACTTCACAGCTAGCTGCTGTTGTTTAGGTTTTGTCTAGGTTGAATAAGCAATGCTAGAATTGGGTACTGGGTGTGTTGGGGGCAGGGCCTATGTTTGGTTTTTGGCTACTCACGATTAGCAGTGTAGCCTTTTTCAAAACCCTTCTGATCAGTGTGTAAATTTTCGTTGCACTGATACATCAGTGTAACATTGAGTTTCAGAAAATTTACTGTGAGAATAATGAGAGGAATGATGGAACTAGGAAACAGGTGGGGTACAAGTAGCAAACACAAAAGTGTTGTACCCTCTAAGGACTACCCCACTATAGCCTACACAGACTATAGCATATATAAGTTTGACACACCCCCATAGGCAAAGTGGGGGAGAACAAGGGGTCACAAGACCAGTCAAGAAGGTAAAGCAAGCTCAGGGTGGATCACAAAGTCACCACGCAGTCTGAGCACAAGCAAAGGGCCACAAGGCCAGTTCACATACAGAGTTATATAAAGGAAAGCAAACAATACAGTGAACACAACCTAGCAAGAGTAAGCATGCAGGTATAAGTATATAGAGTACATTACAAGCAGAGTCAAGAAGTCAGCAACTGAGGCACAGTAGGTACAAGGCCTAACACAGTACAGAAACGCTGATGATCACAAGGCTGAAGTGCCTTGGTGAAAACATCAGCAGTGTTGGCCTCAGAGGCCACGTAAGCAAGACGAAGCTGGCCACGCTGCTGCAACTCTCGAGCAAGGAAGTAGCGCAGAGCAATGTGCTTCGTTCTGTGCTCCAATCTGTGCTCCTGACACAAGGCCAGCATGGCCTTGTTGTCGACGTACAGAAATGGAGGAGAACGAGGCGCTTCTCCCAAGTCGGTCAGCAGGTAGGTGAGCCAGCGTAGCTCCTGTGCAGCCATGGCCCCAGCGTAGATCTCAGCCTCACAACTGGAGCTGAGAACAGAAGAAGAACGGGTAGACCGCCAAGAGACAGAACCGGAGCCAAGACTGAAGGTGTAACCCTGTGACGACCGCTGCGTAGCCAAGTCGTCAACCCAGGAGGCGTCAGCGTGACCAGTGAGGACAAATCGAGCCCGTCCTCCAAGCACGAGCCCCATGCCCGATGTACTGCACAAGTATCGCAACACCCTCTTCGCAGCATCCCAGTGCACCTTTCGGTGCCTGCCGGGAGCCACGTAGCGAGCCAGAAGGCTGAGAGGGTATGCGAGGTCAGGTCGTGTGCAAGTCATCAGGTACATGAGGCAGCCCACAAGCTCTGGATACGGGCCACTTGGCTCTACGGACTCGTCCGAAGGTGGAGCTGAGAGCGAGTGACCGGTAGGCAGAGGAGTGGACTGTGGCGAGGAGTATGTGAAGCCGAAGCGCTGAAGGACCTGCTGCACCATGTGTGACTGAGTCAAGGTAATGGTGCGCTGTGCTCTGTCCCGGGTGATCCGCAAGCCAAGATAGCTTGTCAGCTCACCCAGGTCTGTGCACGTGTGTCTCTTCTGCAGCTCGGACTTTACGTGGGCGAGTGCCTCAGTGTCAGCAGTAGCAAAGACGAGGTCGTCTACGTACACGAAAACGTAGAACGGCGGCAGAGTGGTGTCAGTGCGTAAGAACAGAGAAGGGTCAGAAGTGGAAGGAGCAAAACCAAGAGCAGCAAGAGTCGTCCTGAGTGTGTCGTGCCACTCACGAGGTGCCTGGCGAAGACCGTAGACTGGCCGCCGAAGGCTCCACTGGGTACCAGCTGGAAACGACCCAGTGAAGCCAGGTGGGCGGCGCAGCCAGATTTCCTCGTGCAGGCTGCCCTGTAGGAAGGCTGTGCTGAAGTCAAGCGAGTGGAGCTCGTAATCACGCTGAGCAGCTACGTGCAGCAGTACCCGAAGAGTGGTCATCTTCGGGGTAGGGGAGAAGGTCTGGAAGAAGTGAACTCCCTGTCGCTGACTGAAGCCACGTGCAACGTAACGCGCCTTGAAGACAGGCGGAGAACCCGGCGGCCGCTTCACCCTGAAGATCCACATGCCACTGACGATGTTCGCCCCAGGCGGGGGAACCTCGTCGACGTAGGTGCGTGTGGACTTCCAGGAAGCCATCTCGGCGTCCATGGCTGCCTGCCACTGAGAGGAGTAGGGACCCTCTATCGCCTCTGCGTAAGAGCGCGGGGTCGGGATGTCTGGTGCATCCGGGTCTCCCTCAGGGGCAAGCAGCATGGACACGAGATGAGGTACAGATGCAGCAAAGCACTCAAACTCCTCCGGTCTGTACTCAAGAACGTCCGTGCCAAGAGCACACTCACCCCCGACGGACGGAGGACAGATAGACGCAGACGCAGACTCAGCAACAAGACTAGTGGCGAAGTCTAAGCGACAGGCAGCAGCAAAGTCAACAAGGTCAGCAACGAGAGCAGACGCAGCAGTGGACTCAAACAAAGGGTCAGTGACAACAGTGGCCAGAAAACGCGTGACAGCTGGACGAGCAACACGGAGGGAGTCAGACGCAGGGTCCGGACTGACAGGAAGAGAGGACGAAGGAGGAGAGGGCAGAGGGACACGCTGTGGAGCAGTGGAAGGACGCAGAGTCATAGAGTGAGTGCCAGGGACAGGAGGAGGACGCGGACGCGAAACACGACCAGCACAAACAAAACGGACAGGCGACGTAGAATGAGACACAGGCGACACAGGACGCGACTCAGGCTCACGACGCTCCGTAAGACCTCTAGTCGGTCCAGAGTAAGGAGAAGGACCAGGCAGTGGAGAGGCCGGCTGCAACTGCGACTGAGACAGGACAGGCGGTGGACTCAGGGAAAGAGGAGGAGGACCAGGAGAAGGCGGGGAGCCAAGAACCTGCTGAAGAAGCGGAACGTAGTACGTCCGCGGCCGCACAGCGCCTCCAGAAACAGCAGAGACAGAACCGGTACCCTCAGCCCCAGGGTCTCCAGTCCCAGCAGCACCTCCAGCAGCTCCAGCACCAGCAGCACCTCCAGCAGCTCCAGCACCAGCACCACCTCCAGCAGCTCCAGCACAAGCACCACCTCCAGCAGCTCCAGCACCAGCAGCACCTCCAGCAGCTCCAGCACGAGCAGCAGCTCCAGCACCAGCAGCACCTCCAGCAGCACCAGCACCAGCAGCACCTCCAGAAGCTCCAGCAGCACCTCCAGCACCAGCAGCACCTCCAGCAGCACCAGCACCAGCAGCACCTCCAGAAGCTCCAGCAGCACCTCCAGCACCAGCAGCACCTCCAGCAGCACCTCCAGCACCAGCAGCACCTCCAGCAGCACCAGCACCAGCAGCACCTCCAGAAGCTCCAGCAGCACCCTGACAGCGCCGAGAGTACCACTCACGAAGCTGCTATGGAGAGAGAGGCTCCCGCCACGGCGGGACACCTAGAGCACCTCCAGACGCAGCACGTGCAGGCTCAGCACCTCCAGACACAGTACCCTCAGGCTCCACACGCCCAGGCTCAGCACCCCCAGGCACAGCACGCCCAGACTCAGCACCCCCAGACTCAGCACCCCCAGTCCCTGCACCCGCAGGCTCAGCACCCCCAGACTCAGCACCTGAGTCGACAGCTACCTCGACCGGCTCGGCAGGGTCTACCTGGGACACACCTGAGGGGGCAGGCCCCTGGGGGGGGAGGGGGTCTACCGGGGGAGTACCTGGTGCCAGGAAGAGCGGCGGGGGGGGGGGGGGGGAGAGGCAGTGCGGTAGGGAAAGAGACGGTAGTACGACACCGACTCGTCAAACGTGACGTCCTGAGAGGACAGAACACGACGCGAGGTGGGGTGGTAGAACTGCCACCCGGGTGCGTCAGGAAGGAAGCCAAGGAAGATAGAGGGAACGGCACAGGAGGACAGCTTGTCCGCTGTAGTATCGCGGACAAAAGCTCGAGATCCCCAGACACAGAAGGCGGACGCATCGCCAACCTTTCCCGTCCACCGCAGAGTAGGTGTGGTCTCCGGCAAGGAGACACGAGGCTGAAGGTTGATCTGATGCGCAGCGTACTGAACCGCGAATGGCCACAGAAAATGGGGAGAAGCCGCATGGATCATGGACGTACGAGCGACGTCAATGACCATGCCAATGCGGCGCTCAGCAATCCCATTTTGCTGCGGGGAGGCCGGAAGCGTGAACGTCTGGCGGATGCCCTCCAAACGACAGAAGGCTCTCAGGAGGTCAGAGGAAAACTCCCCGCCTCTGTCTGAGTGCAGACGCAGAACAGGAAGGTCTGAGCCGAAACTCTCACTGAGCTGGCGACGAGCACCGCGGATCCAGTCGATCAATACCTCAGGGACCTCACCCTTGCTGCGCAAGGGGAAGACTGTGGTGTAACGCGAGTAGTCGTCAACGACCAGCAGGAAGTAGCGCTCGTGACCCTGTCCACGGACGCGGGCTGGGCCCCACACGTCCATGTGAAGAGTCTGCAGAGGGGCCTCAGTCGAAGGGAACGAGGAGGAGTGAGGAGCGGCGCGCTGCCGGCCCTCGACACAAGGAACACAGGTGGGGGCAGGCCCCGGAGGAAGGGGAGGGAGGGACCTGGGGAGTCCAGAGACAAGAGCACGGGAGGCCATACCTTGAAGACGAGGCAGGGAGGGGTGACCAAGGCGGTGGTGCCAAAGGAGAGTCTCGATCGCTAGAGGACGACACGAGCAGGGGGCAGACGCAGGACTAGACCTGGACGCGGCAGCAAACACCTGACTGGACGCAGCTACCTGACCAGACGCAGGGACCGGAGGAGGCGCAGTAGTCAGTGTGTACAGACTCGACCCTGGCCGACGGGTGAACGTGGCCAGGTGGCGGCCCGTCCGAGAGCAAGTGCAGTGGGTCACACGCTGACCTCCAGGGGTGAACTGGTCAACCCACGCGTCCTGGAGGTCAGCTCCACTCACCAAGTTCGTAGAGAACGAGGGGAG